AATTTGAACAAAAATTCAAGAATATAATACGTAATACTTTCTCATCTTTTTTTCTCTTTTTATTACTCGTTTTACTCTAGTTTTTCTAAACTGAATATCGAGTCCAAATATACATTTGCGATTTAACTAGTGACGCAATATCTACTGGCCCAATACATTCCCAATGCATATCAATATTTAATCAACCATAGCCAATGAATTGTTTTAATAAAAAGAATTCTACATGCAACTAAACATGCAAATCATTTTAAAAAAGAAAAGAGATTTTTTTCTTTTTTTCATTTTTGTAAAAATTTTTCTATTCAACTTGTTTTATTATTTTCAGTTCATACAAATAGTTTTATTATTTAAGAAATATGAAAAAAATACTGTTCTACTTACGTGAATGTCCACCAAATGTCGAAGCATGTTGCGTTTAGCCAAAAACAAGCCGACATCAACGCGAAATTAAAAATGTATGCTGGAAGAACAGATAATGCGTTAATTGTCAATGATGAATTAGAATGAATTGATAAAATTTATTATAATATTATGCTTCTCAATGAGATTTTCTCAATCTCCTTGCATTACGAATTGTGACAAGAAAGATGAATTTAATAAACAGTACGCCTATATCGAATTAAATAATGTTTAGTTTTACAATATAATTTCCGCAACGTTTAACCCAAAAATATATCCATACAAATGTGAGATAGATATATTATGTGTGTAACACTCAAGATGTAAATATTATCTATAATTTCCATTTTGTAGAGTTAATGAAAAAGAAATAAATGTGCGGATCTATTTAGTCTAGTTATACATGTAAGCTACATTATTATATAATTGAGGCATGCTGTACCCAGTGGAATGCAATATTTCCATTCGGACAATACAGGGAATGCTTGGACGAAATATATAAGCAGGTTCATGACGAACAACGAGCCTACGTGTGCACGCAACGTGCAGCTGTGTACATTTTGGACATCCGGCAATAAAGAATATACCACGAACGTCAATAATAAGAACGGCAAGGATACCAGGAGGCTCACGGCCATGTATATCCGAAAGCCCATCGGCATCATGCAAACGGCCGCATCATAAATGTTCCGCTCCAGGGCGGCGAGGCAGTAAGACGTCGATGGGACAAACTCGCCAGGATACTCGCCGGGATCTTGATGCAAATAGCCGTTGACGAGAAACGAGTACTCATCGAGATTAAGAATGTGGTGTGCACTTGCTTGCGGAACACACGGATCGTGGACGGCCAGTGGAAATAGTTCGTTCAACTTTTTAGTCTCGGAATTGTTCTGATAAACGTCTGGAAAAGTGTAATTATCCTGCTCAATCGGCCCAGCGACGCACGTTCCCTCTGACGTTAGACGATCGCCAAAAGGACAGCAGAGTTGAATGCAAGTTCTGTTGACGCAAGCATCATGTGAAATAATGCTGATTGTATCATTATAATCATCTATATTAAAATTTCCATATGATTGGTACGACGTGAAATCGCTCTCGCCTACGGCC